GTTATGTTTGAACATAAAACCTTATGATAAATTTCCTGTCTATGCATTCTCGGCGATCTTTTATCATCTGTGCATTTTGATTTATATGGCTTTTCTTTTGATGTGTTTGAGGGGAAACCAGAAGATGTTCTAAACCCAAAGAAGAAAAAATTAGAAAAGATTACACCGGTATGTGATATCTTTACTCGTTCTACCTTAGTTCTTTCCCGTTTATATTGCACACCTTTGGGTAAGAATTTGCCATCTTGTGGCAGTAATAGTTTTATTTCATTAGCTATCATTGTATGTTATGTTGTTATTATTTCTTTGGGGAATATGTATCCTAAAACCTCAGTCTAGATATTCCAGTTGATTCTTCCATAACCGATAGTACAAACTTCAATTGAAAAAACATTTTATGGATAAGATTTATGATCAAATGATTGTAAGAGTTGAAATTGTTGAGTCTGTCAATTTAAAGGTTGCCGAAGTGAATAGAGAATCAGTTGTTTTCCAAACGCACAAATCAAACAGCTAGACAGTTTATCCAAACTAGGGATAGAATTGTCATTTATCCATTTTCCATAACTGATAGAATGGACATAACTGCTCGGAGTTCGTCAGTATCACAATTTCAGAACACCGCTTCTGATTCGAGTGCTTCCAATTCTACGATATCCCAGTCGGGCAGGTTTACTCAGGGTTCTGGAGTGTCAGAGCAAGGCAGCATGGGTCGTGATATGCTACTACATTTTAAAGTCAACATTATAATTTTTTTCTTTTAATTTTAACATGTTTTTTTTGTCTCATTATAGTATAAATTAGTGTGTTAAGGTGTATTTCACTTCTGTTTAGGTAATTGTGTTTCTGTGATGCGATTCGAAATATTTAAGTGATAAATATTTTATATTTTCATGTCTAAACATTTTGTACAATTTAATTTTAAGAATATTTTCATGTTTTTCAATCTTCACTTTTATCTCTCATTTATGATTGCATTAAGAAAGTTGGTAAATTTGTTGAAAAAAATTTTGACAGTCTATATGTATTAAATGCGTTTAATTAGTTATAAAATAGCAAAAAAGCAGATATTGTCGTTTTGTTGTTTGACAGTCTATATGTATTAAATGTGTTTAATTAGTTGTAAAATAGCAAAAAAGCAGATATTGTCGTTTTGTTGAGAAAATTACAAATTCTGCGTGACAGATTGTTCATTTAACTAAAAAATCTATAAATAAATTGTTTACAAAACGCATGAACCAAACAGCTAAACAGCTTATTCAAAACATGAGCAGAATGATCATTTAACCAGAATCAGTTATTTTCCAAACGCACAAACCAAACAGCCAGTCAAATTATCCGGATCAACTGGTCATCAGCAGATTATCAGAATAAACTGCTTATCAGCAGAAGCTGGATAAGCCATCAGCATAAGTTGGATAAGCTGTAAACAGACCCTAAAAATACACTATAAAAATCAAGATCGCTTGTTTCGTTGTCGAATCCAGGCTTAAAATGAAAACTTACTCACATATGCTCCATCAATCATTCCAACTAAATTTAAGTTTAAGAGAATGATGCATGGGCTCAAATAATTTATGTTCAAATCAAAGATGCTTTCCATAGCATACAATTATATTTAAATTATATAAAATTATCTTTTTCGGAATCAAATCGAAAAACCATTAAGTGTTGCATGCTCTCAAGTGAGTCATAAGACAACGTCATAAGTTCCCGTTTTAGTCGATATAATACCCTTACAAACAAAAATCAAAGTAAATAAGACTATGCCCCCTACTTGACCACTTTGGTCCTCCTCCTAATAAGGATTGAAAATTGACAAAATTGAGCTCTCACTGGCCAGTCTAATCCCCCTCACAAAGACTGAAGTTGACAGTAATGATTCTTTAATGATATTCAAATGAGATGCTTTAATTAAATAAAAAATATGAATAATTCAAGTATTTTAAAAACATCAATAATTGTCATGTTGAAAATAAATGTCAACCGGAGATGTATATTTTTTTTAATTAAGTTCAGAAAAATATTTAAATAAAATCAATTAATTTAGCCTCGAGTCAAATCCTTTATAAACACAACAGAGCTGATAATGTTCGGCATTATTCAAATATCTTATGATGGTCGTGTTGATTACAAATTTCAATCGATAATGGCTATTTATAAAATCAACATTTCAAGCTACAAATCTCAAAATATTCAAGCAAAAATCTACCACTTAAAGTTAAAAGCAAACCACATCCACCCTTCACAGCTATTTGTTAAGGGTGAAAGATTTGATGTTAAACCAAGCTCAAAATGAGCAAATATCATATTAAGTGTACTACTGCATTCATTTTTAAAATTATCTTATGTTAAAAAAAACATAACCCAAATCATTTGTCCACGTAGTCTAGTCAATAGGCTTCACAAATGAAATAGTTACAACTAAAACCCTCTAATCACGTAACTTCGCTAGTAAAATTCACTATATTATAATCACGGTTGTAGCTCACATAATACCTAATAATTTTCTTCATCATTGAATTTTGAATCATAAGGTATACTCAATAGGGCAAAAACCCCTCTAAAAACTAAAGTCTACTTGATTTTATCCATTTAAGCAAACATTCATCCCAAGTCTATAAACTCTCATTGGACTCAGTAGGCTATGGCTACTGACAAGAATCGTTCTATTAGGTTAGGTTAACTACCTGAACTGATTAAGTAAATCAGTCATCATGAGATCTTGATCAGGTTAGTTATCATTCTCACCACCATCAGCTCTAAATTCACAATGATAAAATTCACAATTTAAAACCCTAATTATTATAACCATACGCTAAATAACGATCGCACTAATGATTAGTCTTAATAGAAAGTGAGACCCTTTTATAAGGAGGGGTAATTAACAACAGAGACATGCATTTATGGGAAACCTTGAATCTCAAATATTAAAATCCTCGCGAAATGAGAATGAAATCTATGGGCAGTTTCGTATCCACAGTCTCGTCTGTCTTCTAAAACTTTGACCTTGAGTCTCAATGTAAAATTCTCATATTCATCTTTGAAGGAGGCCGAGGAAAAATTTTTCAAAGCACATCGTCATGAGAAATGAAGCCAAGTTGATGGGTGAGTTAAGGGGGATAGGTTTGAATTTATTGAATGTAAATTTAATAGCAAAAGCACGCAACCGCATACGTAAGGACTTGAACAAAGATCTCTTTGTTGAAAGATTAAACTCTCAACCACTAAGCTAAGACCAATTGCATGCTAATCAAAGGCAAAAGATTGAATGCTTTTTATTGAATGCAAAAGTTCAAATACAATAAAAAAAACATATACTCAATTTTTTGACAATATTTTAAAAAAAAATATGCATTTTTGTTGCATGCTATTTGAATGAATTGATAATGGTCCATCTCTTGCCATAGGCTTTGCAATAGAGTATAGTATTTTACAATGAAGTATCCTCCATAGTTTAGCAGAAGAAATCTTAACATGGCTTCAAATATATGTCCAATATCACAAACTAGTTTCCTTCTACAGTAAGTAGCTCCCATTGACTGGTAACATGGTAGTAGAGATCTCACCAAAAGGAGCGAGTATGCAATCAGTTTGGATAGATCGGTTATCAAATTGATCAAGTTGCTTGCAACTGAAACCCGAAATCCAAAAAATTGATCCAATCAAAATTTTCATAAAATCAAACCAAAATTAAATTCGTTTTAAACGGTTTGATCATGATCTTGTTTAAAATTGTGCAATATGAGGTGCACCTTGAGCCCCGTCTCAACGCTTTGTACAAAAAGAAATGGCAATGAAGCTTATGCTTCATTGTCCTAAGGTGAGGTGTATACCTCACCCGGGTAGAGGCATGCCTCGACCATGCCTAACCTTCAAAAACGCCTCAAATTTTTAAAGCTATATGTAATTTTTTAAAATAAATTAAAAATAATATCAATACACCTCGTTTATTAGCCTTCACACCTCACACAAAAAATAATAAAAAATAAAAGAAAAAGATTACCATAAAAGCTTATGTGGTTGAAATCCTAACTATCAATATAGCTATTATTTTAATTAATATTTTTATGGATGATTATTCATAAAAAATAAAAGATAACTGGGATTAAAGATAATAAAGAATGGAAAAATAAAAAAATAATAAATATGACTAAGGATGAGACACGAGATAAACAATTTATTATGCCAATAATTCTAATTCAAATCTATTAAGAGAGTAATATCTTAAATTTAAAAATTCAAAATGTTAATAAATTGTTATATTCTCGCTTTAAGTTGGGTGGTAATTCAAGTGAAAAAGAAAGATTAATGTTGAACTTATTTTAATGTTTTAGTATATTATTTTAATATCTTAGCTCAGTCTGATAGTTTTATGTATGCATAGCCCATCTTGTTTTATAATTTGGATATTATGATAATAATGTGTTACATCTAATTTTATGAAAGTTATTAATTTTTATTTACTTAGAATGTTGTACTACTTTTTAATGTGTTAATAAATTAGAATGTTAATATATTATCTCTTACTTCAGACCTCATAGTTTATACAATATTTATTAATTTACGCAATTTCTTAAATTTAAGGCTTACCCCTCAAAATGCCCTAAAGGCTTATGCTTCACCTCACAAACGAAAAATGTATCAATACCCAAGTGCGCAATTTTAAAGATTGGGTTATAAACAAACCAAGATTTAGTTGTTAGTCGAAAGCTTGGTTGTGAATAAAGATCAAGAATCATATATTTAATTTCATGAATCCTCTATTTAATTTCGAATTTTCGGTTATTTGAATTGTTCGTTTCAATGAAAATTTAAACCAAACCAATAAGAAGATGGCCAATGAGAGTCCTTACAACACCATCGGCAAAACTCGTTCAGAAAAAAGATTAAAAAAATGTAAATAACCAGAAAAAAAAGGATAATTAATATGAATGTTTGGTAGTGGAGCCAATCAATTAAGCCTTCGGGTACTAACAGAGTAGTAGTTTAGGGAGTACCGCTGAGTAAGCCTTCCTAGCACAACCCAAACACTCAACTCCTCCCACATCCAGAAGCATATAAGCAGGTACTGAAACTATGCAGCCGCAGTGAATCCTCTGCAGAAAGAGGTTCAAGCTCGACTATAAATAGCAATGTAATAAACAGAATATTCAATCAAAGATAGCATATTTCCAATTAGCAATTGAGAAGCAAAACCAGCAAGCAAAAAACTCCCAACAAATAAATACAACGCAGAAACTAGGCTTCTCACCTTGCCACACGACTCGCACTTCCTCCACCCAGCAGCATCTAAATGGTACGTCTCACAGAAGTTACCTTGATCAAAAGTAGAGCTGCAATCGTGCAAAGTTAAGAAACAACGAATGTCAACACAACCAGTTCCAAATCTTCACTTATATATATATATATATGATCACTCGCTACATATACAGCTCTTTTGCCAATACAGAAACCAAAACCATAATTCAAAATTAATTGACACAGACCAGAAAACAAAAGCATTATTTAGCATGCATTCCGATTGACCACGAAGACTCTCAGTCAAATCTAGTTCAACAACTAAGGAATGCATGCTAAATAAGTCCCGTGACTCGCTGTCCAAATAGACCCCAAAAATAGCAAAATTCTTCAACGAACAAAATCAATTCACTAGGACGTTTGCAACAATAACAAGGCATAAAGTTCATGAAAAAGCCAAAAAATAAATTAAAAAAAAAATCGTTAAAAAAAGGCGTGAAAGACTAGAGGAGGAAGGGGTGCGCGTGCATACTGGCAGCGGTCGCAGAGCTCGGCAAACTCGCCTGAACGCAGACGCCATCCCTTACGGCGAGTTTGCTCCGTTAAAGCCTCCTTACAGTGCGCGTTAAAACAGATCTTGAGTCCCCCTGCCGCCGCCGCCGAGGACGACGACATGGTTGTGATCTGCATCAATCAGCGTTGCGAGATGAGAGCCGAAGCCTGAAGAAAACGTCGACGTCTCGCTCCTAATAAATCATGCGGGGAAATAGCAGAATACGAGAAGACGAGAAGCAGAAAGAGACCCCGGGTTGCGGGTTCGGATTAGGGACAAGGCCCGCAAGGAACGGGAATAGGAATAGGAATAGGAATCGAAATAGAAATAGAGAGGGGAGGTGAAATTTTCGGAGCTTCTCTCAACACATGTCCAAAACCCTACAAATCAACTTTCTGGACTCTTTGAGTTTGGACTGAATAGCTCAATGCCAGTCAACTTCCTTCTTATCCCTTTTAACTAATATTCATCATACCTAAATAACGAAACTCGCTTTATTAACATCATTTTGCAGTCAAATTTAGAAAAACGACACCGAAAAATGTGCCTTTTATTCACTTTATTTAACAAGTCGCATAAATTAATTGATGATAGTCTGACTCTTAATTTTTAAGATTTGAAGTGTTTATAGAAGCCTATTTAATATTATTAAAATGATTTTATATTCTTTTGGATCCAAGAATGTCCGAGAACATACCCAAAGAATGGAATGTTCTATTATGAAGTAATTTAAGAGAAAGAAAAATAGAGAGTAAAAGAGCAAAGGTATATTTTATTCATAATAGGGGCCCCTATTTATAATTATAGGTCTCAATATTACAAAAAATACATATTAGTCCCATATTTATTAACCTTTCAGGGGAGGTTTTTTGGAAATATACAAGGTCGTTTGTATATAATAAAGCTTGAGACATATTCAATAGATAAGATTTTTCCATCGTTTGACAGGTCTTGGTTCGAAAGAGTTAAAAAAAAATTTTCCATCGTTTGACAGGTCTTGGTTCGAAAGAGTTCTCCTCATCGATCATTTTGAAGGCTGATAACGTCCTGATGGACTTCCTTTTGTCATCTTCTATCGATTGTTCAGGTGAAATATGATATTCATCGCAACTCATCTAGAAACAATCATTCATTACTTCGAGTGATCGGTCGTACTTCCTTCTTGGGCCGCCCATCTGCTTTGAGATTTGTGTAGACACATTCTTTTGTATACATAATTAGTTCCCCGACTCTCTTGCTCGTCGGAAACTGTCTGGTACTTGAGGACAAGATAATTGTTTTCACTTATACATAAATGAATGAATAAATAAATAAACAATATTTGTTGTGTAATAATGGACTTGCCTATATTTTTGTACCCAATACATTAATAATAGGCTTTGAGACAAGAGAAATCTGCACCACTTCAATCCCTTTGGACTCCTTTATCTCGAGTCCTCTCTACATGTTGCCAGCGATGTATGACAAAGGAGTCCCGCTTTCTGACAAGAGTGTGCTTTTTAAGGCGTTAAACGACATGTGAGCGCAAGCCCGCAAGTTGGATGTGAAACGCAAGCTGGGGGGGCGAGGTGTCTGCCGAGAGAGTGGGAAGAGGGTCATGTCCAAGCACAGAG